AATAAAGCCCCCAATGTGAGTAATAAAGTCTTATAATGAAGATTTTTATTCCTCCAGTCCAGAGTGTCTTCGAAAGCGGCACTCGTCAGCTCGTGCCTACCGCCTTCCATTATATCCATTATTATTATTGCTGTTTTTATCACGTCAGCAGTTTTGAAGAGGCTCTTTTTCCCAGTCCATTTTCGGCACTCAGACTAGACGACGGCACCAACACTGCCGGGTAGTGCCAAGGCTTGGTGAACGCGGCACTGCCTGGTAGTGAGTGCCATCACCGTCTGAACCTCAGAAGTGCAGGACCACCTTGGTAAAAATGCCGCTATTTGCATTTATAAGCAATACAGAAGTTTTTTCATTAGTCTGTATGGAGTTGCATAAGAAGAAACTGAGTAGACTCCTAAGTAGCAGTGGGTGAAACCGTGCAGTTAGGGTTTAGAGAGAGAGGGAGAGAAAGAGTTACTTTGTGTGTGTGTGTGTGTGTGTGTGTGTGTGTATGTATGTGTGTACTCACCTATTTATGGTTGCAAGGGTCGAGTGTGTGTGTGTCATTTCTTTTCTCACCAATTTTCACCTATTTGTGTTTGCAGGTGTCTGATTCTTGTGGAACCCCACTTGTCACACTTGCTTACTCTGACACCTCTTCCCGGACACTCACACAGTTTCTCTCCTCTCGGGCATTCCTTGATCAGTTGCGGTGCCTCCTCTATAATTCCTGTCTGCTCCTCTAGTGTTTGCTTCAATCTCTTGTGTGTTACTTTGTCAAAAGCCTTCTTATAGTCCAAGAATATGCGGTGCACCCATCCCTCTCATTCTTGCTACCTTGTTATAGAATTCGAGTGGGTTTGCAAGACAGGTTACCATCTCTACAACTTCTTGGTTAGAGCTTATAAATCCACTTTTTTTTTCCAGGTGCTACACCACTCTTCTCCTGATTTCTCAATTCTACCTGTTTGTCCTCTTTCTTGAATATTGGAACTATCTATGCTGTCTTCCACACATCTGGCGGTATCAGTCGAATTGTTAGGGATTTTAAATAGTAGTATACACAGTGCTGGTGCTCCCTCTTTCACGACCAAGGAAGAGAACTTATCTGGTTCCATTGTCTTCCAGGGATCTGACGTACTCAGTAGTGCCTTTACCTCTGTTCCTCGTGGATGTTCTTCTTCCCATCGACTCTCTGGTAATGTCTTTCTTTCCTCCGAGAATACCTCCTAAAATCTTTTGTTTAGCTCCTCGCAGATTTCGTGATCATTTGTTATGATGAGCTCTCCTTCCTTCCTTTCTTTTTTCCTTCCTTCCTTTCTTCCTTCAGTTTTATTACTTGGTCCTATACCGAAGCATTTCTTCTGATTTGACTGTAAAGCAAGTTTGGTTCAGATTTGACTCTCGATGCTATTTCATTCTCATGTTTCCACTCATTCTCTCTTCTTACCAGTGTCTATTAATTTCTGGCTCTTCTCGCTTCCCTGTTTTTTCCCTTTTTTTTTTGCATCTTTAGTTTTCCATACTCATGTACTTTTAGCTTTTATCTCTCTGCATCTTTGGTTAAGCCACAGACTCTCTATGTTATTACCATTGTTTCTTTTTATTCCTGCTTATGAATTTCTTCTCTGCCTCCTTGCACTTTCCACCTTTAAACGCCATGAAGTCATGCGTTGTCTTCTTTTCCAGTTCCCTTTCCCCCCTCTGCACTACATTCAGGAATTCTCTCAATACTGTGTGGTTTTCTCTTTTGAAGTCTAGCTTCTCCCTCCCTTCCATCCCGCGCTGTGTTTCTCTTTACGTTGACTTCCACGAGGTGTGTGTGTGTGTGTGTGTAGTTTAATGCTTCATGTCTGTCTCCTTTTTTAAAGATTGGGACTACTTTTGCTGTGTGTGTGTGTGTGTGTGTGTGTGTGTGTGTGTGTGTGTGTGTGTGTGTGTGTGTGTGTGTGTGTGTGTGTGTGTGTGTGTGTGTGTGTGTGTGTACTCATCTATTTGTGGTTGCAGGGGTCGAGTCCTAGCTCCTGGCCCCGCCTCTTCACCGGTTGCTACTTGGTCCTCTCTCTCCCTGCTCCATGAGCTTTATCAAACCTTGTCTTAAAACTATGTATTGTTCCCGCCTCCACTTTCTAGGCTATTCCACTGCTTGACAACTCTATGACTGAAGAAATGCTTTCTAACATCCTTTTGACTCATCTGACTCTTCAACTTCCAATTGTGACCTCTTGTTTCTGTGTCCCCTCCCTGGAACATCTTGTCTTTGTCCACCTTGTCTTTTCCGCGCAGTATTTTATATGTCGTTATCATGTCTCCCCTGACCCTCCTGTCCTCCAGTGTCGTCAGGCCGATTTCCCTTAACCTTTCTTCGTAGGACATTCCCCTTAGCTCTGGAACTAACCTTGTCGCAAACCTTTGCACTTTCTCTAATTTCTTGACGTACTTGATCAAGTGAGGGTTCCAAACAGGTGCTGCGTACTCCAGTATGGGCCTGACGTACACGGTGTACAGTGTCTTGAACGATTCCTTAATAAGGTATGGGAACGCTGTTCTCAGGTTTGCCAGGCGCCCATATGCTGCAGCAGTTATCTGGCTGATGTGTGCTTCCGGAGACATTCTCGGTGTTATACTCACCCCAAGATCTTTCTCCTTGAGCGAGGTTTGCAGTCTTTGGCCACCTAGGCTATACTCTGTCTGCTGTCTTTTGTGCCCTTCCCCGATCTTCATGACTTTGCATTTGGCTGGGTTAAATTCGAGAAGCAAGTTGCTGGACCAGGTGTCCAGTCTGTCCAGGTCTCTTTGAAGTCCTGCCTGATCCTCATCTGATTTAACTCTCCTCATTAACTTCACATCATCTGCGAACAGGGACACTTCTAAGTCTAACCCTTCCATCATGTCATTCACATATACCAAAAATAGCACTGGTCCTAGGACCGACCCCTGTGGGACCCCGCTCGTCACAGGTGCCCACTGTGATACCTCATCACGTACCATGACTCGTTGTTGCCTCCCTGTCAGGTATTCTCTGATCCATTGCAGTGCCCTTCCTGTTATATGCGCCTGATCCTCTAGCTTCTGCACTAATATCTTGTGAGGAACTGTGTCAAAGGCCTTCTTGCAGTCCAAGAAGATGCAATCAACCCACCCCTCTCTCTCGTGTCTTACTTCTGTTACTTTATCATAAAACTCCAGAAGGTTTGTGACACAGGATTAGCCTTCCATGAATCCGTGCTGGTTGGTGTTTATACTCTTGTTCCGTTCCAGGTGCTCCACTACTCTCCTCCTGATAATTTTCTCCATAACTTTGCATACTATACACGTCAGTGACACAGGTCTATAGTTTGGTGCCTCTTTTCTGTCTCCTTTTTTAAAAATGGGAACTACATTTGCCGTCTTCCATACCTCAGGTAGCTGACCAGTTTCCAGGGATGTGTTGAAGATTGTGGTAAGTGGCACACACAGCATATCTGCTCCCTCTCTAAGGACCCACGGAGAGATGTCCGGTCCCATTGCCTTTGAGGTATCGATGTCCCTTAGCAGCTTCTTCACCTCCTCCTCATTTGTATGTATGTCATCCAACACTTGTTGGTATATTTCTCGCTGGTGTCCCCCTCTGTTCTGTCCCCCCAGAGGCCTTCCTGTCTCCATTGTAAATACTTCCTTAAATCTCACGTTGAGCTCCTCACATACCTCTCGATCGTTTCTTGTGAGTTCCCCACCTTCTTTCCTCAGCCTTATCACCTGGTCTTTGACTGTTGTCTTCCTCCTAATGTGGCTATACAGCAGTTTCGGTTCAGACTTGACTTTCGATGCTATGTCGTTTTCGTACTGTCGCTGGGCCTCCCTCCTTATCTGTGCATACTCGTTTCTGGCTCTTCTACTAATCTCTTTATTTTCCTGGGTCCTTTGCCTCCTGTACCTTTTCCATTCTCTGGTCCACTTAGTTTTTGCCTCCCTACACCATCGGGTAAACCAAGGACTCGCTTTGCTCTTCCTATTATTTCTGTTGCCCTTGGGAACAAACCTTTCCTCTGCCTCCTTGCACTTTGTTGTTACATATTCCATCATCTCGTTTACTGATTTTCCTACCAGTTCTCTGTCCCACTGAACCTCCTGCAGGAAGTTCCTCATACCTGTGTAGTCCCCCCTTTTATAGTTTGGCTTTTCCCATTCAATTCCTGTTACCCTCTCCACTTGTAACTCTACTATATACTCAAAACTCAGAACCACGTGATCGCTAGCTCCAAGGGGCCTCTCGTAGGTGATGTCCTCAATGTCTGAACTGTGTGCGTGTGTGTGTGTACTCACCTAGTTGTATTCACCTAGTTGAGGTTGCAGGGGTCGAGTCCAAGCTCCTGGTCCCGCCTCTTCACTGGTATGTGTGTGTGTGTGTGTGTGTGTGTGTGTGTGTGTGTGTGTGTGTGTGTGTGTGTGTGTGTGTGTGTGTGTGTGTGTGTGTGTGTGTGTGTGTTTACTAACCGATCTGTGTTTGCTGGGGTTGGGTTCTTGGCCGCCCCAGTACAGGAGAGGTTCTTTTCCCAAATTATTTTTCCCTGACTGAAGTGTTCACTAGCGTACTACGTGCTATTTATTCTTCGTGAGACCTGTTTTTATTTGCTCTCATTTTTATTACGTGGCTTTTGTTAACATTGAATTCCATCATCCATTTAGCCGAACCTATTCAGGTATTTTTTGCAGAGATTTAGTCTGCCACCTCTACTAGCCCGTCTCTTCTCTCCCCGCAGTCTACCACTGCTACGAATCAATCTCTTCACTTACTGCAGTCTACTACTACTTACTAACCAGTCTCTTCTCTCCTTGCCTCTACGATCATCACCACCAATTAAAAATCATGATTTAATATTTATTTTTTGCACGAGGTGGATCGATTAGTCAGTGGAAGACCTCGGTCAAGTTGTCAGGTACTTCCGAAGACGATGTGACCAAGACCCGTATCAAGGAACGTGTTACTATTTCTCCTGACAAACACCTCTCTCTAACTACCTTCTCTCTACCTTCCTCAGGCTCTACCTCCATCTGGCTCACTGTGACCTTCACCATCGAGCGTTACATCGCTGTCTGTCACCCCATCAAAGGAAAGGTAGGTGTGTCACCTGAGGTTACCTGAAATCGCCTGGCGTCACATGACTCTGGAATCAACTAATGATGCATGGGGGTCACCTGGGGTTCCCTGAGGGTCAGTTGTGGTCACCTCGCATTATCCGGGGTTCCCAGATAATGCGAGGTTGTCATGTGTTACCCAGGTAACACATGACCACCCGATATGGCTAAACAGGTCTGGTGATAGAACATCAAGCCACTTGTGAGAAGGTGCAGTGTTGATTATAGGCCAACTAGGCTATTATAATGTTTTTGGCGATTGTAGGGTACAATACGTTAATAACCACCAATAACTTCGATATTTATTACAATTATCTTTACAGGTAAAGAACCACTTGAATAAAAGAAAATGCAAAGTGTGAATTTTACATTGAGTATGCACATACTAATATTATCCTGTGTGTTTCCTGATAGTTATTAATCTAGTGATATTTCCTTTCTAACCTTGCAGGCCTGGTCTGAAACTGGCCCGTGGGAAAGATAATCCCCGGGACAACTAACAGATAAGAAAGACATTAAAAAAGGCAGCACATTAGGCATATCTGTTGCAAAGCAACGGATATTCCTAAGAGTTTTTTGGTATTTTTCTTCAATGTGTTCGTCATACAAGGCGGTAATACCGTAGTAGTTGTATACACCTAGACTTGAAAATAACTGGAGTTGCTTGGCTCTGCCTTGTATTAACTACTTGCATAATGAACAATGAGCGTGGCAGACTGCCAGGTGCAACCTTTTCACACTCACTCCTAGACCAGCAGTTGGTGATTTGCTGCTGTTGGGGAAGGACTTGAGTAGTTGCTCTGTCTCTATTAACATACCCTGTCACACAAACACTTTACAATATCATTCTGGGACTTATAGTTTCTGAGCATCTTGCAGACTCTCCTTTTAACTATATCGTTAAACATAACCTCTGAGAAGAAGAGTCATCACTGAACTTCATTCAGTGTTTCAGAACATCACAGCTACGCTTTCACTACTGTATATCTTGCATTATATCATCGTGGATTTAATGATATAATGTTTGAACAGTCTGAGAAAAGTGTCAGCATTAATTTGTGAGCATTGTATTCTACTTTTGGGTTGAACACACTGAGGAACAGTTTGGGACTTAATCTTTGGACACATCTGTCCCGTGTGGACGGACTGTTTGCTTAAATGGGGTCCATTATGTATCTTGGCACTGACTTTGACTCATTTAGGTGTTGTTAATATTCTTTCGGTAAATAATAAGTGGACTTAGCATTTCTCCTTTACGAACACAGCTTATTGTAGGATCGTATGGATGTGTTATTTTGACTGCTATGTTGACGTCTACACACTGTATTTTGTCTTAGAATTTGAATAGATAATATCTGTACACACATGCACTGTGTGCATTTCAGGTCATTCGCTAGTTAGTTGCACCCCTTGATACATGCATGGGTCTTATCGTTGTGATGTAATGGATCTTTCATGAAATTGGTCTGGTTTTGAGCCTTATCAAAATTATCATTTGGTGGTTGATTAATTAATATTTGCATGTGAGACATAGTCTTTTATTCAGGTGATGTTTCACTTGTGTCCTATCCTGTCACTATTATTTCTCATGCAGACTGTAATATATATTTGTACAAAATGTCTTGATTCAGTAAAGATAGATGCATTTTACACATCTTATTCCCAAATCCCTGACTGGTGAATAAAAGTATGGCTTTCGCTTAACCCTTGAGATAGTTTGCCTACAAATGACCTCTACTTTGGCATCAGAGATCATTCACATGCTGACATTTAATTCGACCTGTGGAGAACAAATAATCAGATATTTCCGTCTTATGCCGTGTAGGTTTGACGCTTTCCCTTGACTGTAATAATCTCCACCTTTTAAGAGAAAGTTTTGATATTTACTCTTCACCGCCATCTCTCTGATATTTATTTCAGTAACTTTGTTCTAATTAAAGTGCTTCGTTTATATTGGATAAATTCCAATTATTTTTGTTGAACGATCTGTTTTCGACCAAATGTTACTTTTAGAAAATGTGTTGGTATTTTGAGGCTGATTATTGGAAATCGAAGGTGTGTTGTTTTATTTTTATTGTTCTTAGTGAATGTTGTGTTTGTTATTGTCCTTAAAAGTGTTGTGTGGGTGTCGTTGGTGTTCTTGACGAGCACCTACCCCGAGGTCGTGGAACTGCACCACACGGCTCACAACCAGACAAAACAACATCCACCACCTCGACTTTCAAAGTCTGAAGATTCGGGTGCTGGAAGTATAACCAGAATGAGTCGAAGAATATCCTTCATTGTGGCTAACTTATTTTCAGAAAAGGCTCATAAATATTCTCAAGTTTAATTATATTATTCATGGTATAAAAACTGAACAAGGGCCTCGCAGCACCTGTAAAATGTGAGATAAGGTTTTAACCGAGAAAGGCATCTCCCAGAATCCGCTAGTAAAACTCGTCACTTTTGACAAAAACCACCTTAAACCAACTCAAGGTTTACCCAAAACCTTTTTTTTTCTACTGCTCTGACCTACCCCATTATTTCTTTCCCTCTTCATTCTATGGCCTATGAAAAGAAAAACATTTCCCATGAAAGGCCGAAGTTTAGAACACCAGCCTGGGGTGACCTGACCCACATAGCATCGACACGCTAGTCTTCTACAGGGAACATCTCTCTGGGAAAGTGTCTTCATACTGGTGAAGGGCTCTTGATCTATGGAACTGGAGCTACGCTTCTCTTTCTAGGATCAAATCTGATTGCCTCCATACCCTAGGTAGGGTAAGTCGTACGAGCATAGCGCTTCCCAGAGGCAGTTAATATGCAGAATACAAGATATAAGACAGCGTAAGCAATAAAATGGATAAGGATTGTCTTAAGTCCTTTATAGGAGTTGCTAAACAACCACGACAATAATGATGATGATGATAATAATAATAATAATAATAATAATAATAATAATAATAATAATAATAATAATAGTGTTTTCTTCAGTTCATTCTACAAGAAAGGTGCCTTGAAAGGGCAGTGAGAAGTTTATCATTGAAGTCATTGTAACCCTCCTGACTTCGCCAAACTTTTAGGTGCTGCAAAGTACAGTTCCATAAAAAAGATGCCTTTGGTGTTAGACGCTCATTGAGAAAAATAAAGACGGGAAGTATCAGGAAATCATTTGCGAGTTACTGATGTCCTGGAAGCAATCAGTTCTTGCAGCTGACTATCCCGGAGTAATCCCGGAGTACAAGCAACGGTTCTCTGGCAATTACAGGACCAAAGATCGAACCTCCGCCACTCCTTGAGTTGCATGAACCACCCAGGTTACTGCTTCTATTATTATTATTATAATAGAAGCCGTAATCTTACATTTAAAGCTAGAAAAAAAGCTACCGAACAACTTCTATTTAGCTGTCACCAGGACACAGGCGCGTTCATTCTGTTAGCTCACAGTGTGTTGCTGTCTGCTGTTATCTCTAGTGTGCTCGCGCAATTGTAAGATTTTCACGTTTATAATTTATATCCTCGTCTGTAATTTATGTTTCTGGTGTTTGGAAAGTGAATGCTTTTTTTTCTGTCATCCGAGTTTTATTTTAATTTATTTGGTAATGTTATTTATTAATAGTTTTATTTGCTCACTAGGAAAAAACTTTCTTTGTTCCTTAGTAAAAGTGATTTGTTATTATTGAAAAGGATATTTTTTAATTTATCACTTTGATGCATGCAGTAGTAAATTACATGTTAGGAAAAAGATAATTTGATATCTGTTACGTAATCTTGTTACCATGTTAATGAACTGTGTTTAAGCTCTGCATCTGACGTTCGTTTTGACTTGGCGCAGCTGCTGACTAGCTCTGTCTGTGGATAGTAGCAGAAAATATCTAAACTTTCTCGAAAGAATTTACTTGCACAAGCTTTTTTTTTCACTATGTCTTGTCTTGACATGTTGTATTGATTATGCTGATGCCAGCATGATGACCGTGAGTCTGGCTTTACCCAACAAGAGGAAGGACCTTCTTTGTAAAGCCTCAAGTATCTTCGTATATGTCTTTATTCTCAGTGCTAGGATGCTGACGTTATAAGACGCTCTTGTCCCTTTTGTGTTTCATTTTGTTTTTTATGTTAATCTTCTCTGTTGACTATATTTTTTGTTGTAAATTCACATGTCATTCAGTGAGCTACCAAGTTTGTCTCTGACTTTATGCTGATCTGTGTTATTGAAGTTGTATTTCCACTCTGTCAGAGGTGTTGTGTGATCTTTTTTTCTTTTTCTTCAACATTCTCTCTCTCTCTCTCTCTCTCTCTCTCTCTCTCTCTCTCTCTCTCTCTCTCTCTCTCTCTCTCTCTCTCTCTCTCTCTCTCTCTGTCCCTCCTTCCCCATGTCCAGTTCACCACGTACCCCTCCTTCCCCAGGTGTTCTGCACGGAAAGTCGTGCCAAGCGGGTGATCGTGGCGGTGTTCATCTTGTGTTTCACGTTAACAGCGACCACCCCGCACGAATGGGTCATCAACGAGGTCACCGATGCCGTCACGGGTCAACCCAGGCTTGCCATGGACTACTCTTTCCTGGGCAGCCACTCCACCTACAAGAAGGTGAGTTGGACGGCTCTCTTGTTACCCTTCCTCCCTCCCTCTTTCTGAAATAGAAGAGATTCTTTAGTCTCTCTCTCTCTCTCTCTCTCTCTCTCTCTCTCTCTCTCTCTCTCTCTCTCTCTCTCTCTCTCAGCAGTACACTGGCTCAGCCACTAAAATACTTGCATTAAAATTTCTGTGAGTGGCTAGTTTATTTTGCACACAATGTTTTTAATCAGACGGGTCTACAGGAAACTTCATCAGACCACATTAAAGATTTATATGTATTTCAGATACTGCAGAATCGTTTCACAGAAGTCGCTCTCTCTCTCTCTCTCTCTCTCTCTCTCTATATATATATATATATATATATATATATATATATATATATATATATATATATATATATATATATATATATATATATATACTTTATTAATTTATGTAAATCATGCAAGGTGTGGATACAGTTACTTTCTTTCGAATATCGTAATGACACCGAAGAAATTTTTCATTTCGTGTAAATTTTGGTTACGCGTATTTATGAAGGCCTGGATTTTTTTTTATAATCTGAGATATGTTGCTTTTGCGTGTGTGGCCACGGACCATTTGGCCATGGCCACTGAGCTGTTCATCACATGATCACCACTTTCTCTGTTGGCACATTATGCTTCCATGATGGAGGTCTCTTTGCGGGCTGGACTGGTAAACTATTTATAGCCAAACCACCAAGCCTTTGAATGACGACATCCTGTGGTCTTCTGATACTGTTACTTTCTCCAAAACACACCTACATCCTTTCACGTATCCTACATTCCCCTACGCATCCTGTATCCTGCACAAATCCTACATCCTCTCGCATATCCTCCTTCTTTCCACACTTCCTAAATACTCACCCATCCTCTAACTGTGGTGCACAGGAAGAGTCTCTCACAGTGTCTCAGATGGAGACCCTCACACGAGCTACACAAATCAGGTGAAAGTGCAAAGAGAAGAGAGCGTAAAAATAAACAAATGGGAAATGAGGTTAGGACAAGGCAGAGGAAGCTTCTTAGAGAGCAGACCTGCTGAAGCCTCCAAATGGGATTCTTTCAGATTTGATCCTGGAGTCACTCGATATAACTAAAACTCGGAATGTGAAATTGTCTGTTCTTAGAGTCCCGTTTTGGTTATATAACAACAGTGATCAAGACATTGGCAAACACGACACTTTCCAATGATTCTGATAGGAGAAGAGAGGGACAGAATGGGAAGAAAGAGAGAAAAGAGAGCCAGGATCTCTCCTTTCAAACGAGGGTTTGAAAGGAGAGATCATGACTGTGTCTAGACATAATAGTTATTAATAATAATAATAATAATAATATCTTTATTTCTACAAGTACATGTACATGATACACAAGCCTAGCTGACATCAATAACATACTACTATATAGAAAGCAGCTTGTTATGCAGAGCATTTCGGGAAAATTAGGTCAGTTTTGTCACAGGATGCGACCCACACCAGTCAACTAACGCCCACACTGATGCGTGAACATGGACAGCAGGTGTCTTATGGAAACATGTTCTAATGCTATCCGGCCGTACCGGGGATTCGAACTAATGTTATCCGGCCGTACCGGGGATTCGAACTAATGTTATCCGGCCGTACCGGGGATTCGAACTCCCGACAGTATGTGAGACTGCGCTAGCGATAGAGCTACGGGTTCAAAGCCACAATAAGAAAATAAACTTTATACCAAATAACAAAAAAAAACTAAGTTGACATAGGTAAAGTTGAGAAAGTAATAAATGGGCCAAAGAAAGGGCAAGATAATGAGATCAAATAAAAGAATTATGGGAGAATGTTGAAAAATGTGAAGGGGATCCTGATGGTAATGCCATTAACGGAAGGGAGGTGGGAGAGTGCAAATGCTTTGGTGATTATCTGTAAAAAAAATAATATTGAGGGAGACAGCTCAAAAAATTCAGCAGTAGATGAGTCTGCATTTTATGGAAGTAGAGAACAAGGGGGGGAAATGCTGTCCATATTTTTTTGGGGATCAGAGCTATGTGGAGATACATACAAGGTAAGGAAATACATACTTTGTTCACAGCTTGTGCGTTCCTTACATTGTGAAGCTCTCTGGTCACACAAGGCGACTCACTATATGGTAGGTTCTCCTGGGACATTCATATAATGTCTGCATCATGGACTGACAAGCCTACTCGGAAACGTGCAACAAAAACACTGGTACTAGGCAAGTCGAGTCGTTACTGGACAGTGTCTACCTATTTATTATTTGTTTTAAATGCTTTGTTTATGGCTATTATTTTATTCATTTATTACTGTTGCAAACCTACCATTAAACCCGTTACTTCCCTCACTGGGACAGGTGTAGGGTATAATAAAGAGAGTCAGGAGGTAGGGGATCATGACGGGAGTCATGAGGTAGGGGATCATGAGAGAGGTCAGAGGGTAGAGGATCATTAGGGGATTTAGGGGGTAGGGAATCATGAGGGGAGTCGGGGGGGGCAGTCATAAATTAGGAAGGGCCACTGATAGAGAGGGATGAGGGGGAACAGAGGAGGTGGCTAACTGTGAGGCATAGAGGGGATGTGAAGGGATATCACCAGGGTGGGGGTGGAAAAGGTGAAAGAGGTCCAGGAGAAATTACTAGTGTAGGGAGGTGAAGGTGTGGGGGATCATTGGTGAAATGTGTGGGTGGTGAGTGTTCACGGCACAGGTGAAGTGGTGAAGGGATGGTCACTGTACAGGCGTGATTTTGTATGGAGGGTCATTGGATAGGTAGGGTGGTGTAAAGGGTCACTGGACAGGTGGGGTGGTGTAAGGAGGGTCACTGGACAGGTGTGGTGGTGTAGGGAAGGTCACTGGACAGGTGGGGTGCTGTAGGGAGGATCGCTGGACAGGTGGGGCGGTGTAAAGAGTCACTGGACAGGTGTGCTGGTGTAGGGAGGGTCACTGGACAGGTGTGGTGGTGTAGGGAGGATCGCTGGACAGGTGGGGTGGTGTAAAGGGTCACTAGTATTTTAAATATTATTCTGGACAGATGAAGTGATTAAGGAAAGCCAATTTTTTAACTGAGTACACTCACAACATTCATCTACCCCAGTCTATTATGACAGTTACAGTGTGACAACAAAAGCTATGTATGTTTCCCGGCCATATTCCATGTTACAGTACGGGACCAAAAACTATCTGTGTTTCCCCTGTCATATTCCATCACACTTGAAGGGTTTCATACATGAAGTAATGGAATCTGTCAACTTGAGCTGGGTGAATGAGGGGTAGAGGGTGTTGGGGTCACCTTGGAAGGGATAGTGGATCAGGAGGGGACACTTACTAATCTTTTCGGTGACAAATATTTGGATCCCACTGCTGCCACCAAGTGTTCAGATCCCACTGCTGCAACCAAGTGTTCAGATCCCACTGCTGCAACCAAGTGTTCAGATCCCACTACTGCCACCAAGTGTTCAGATCCCACTGTTGCAACCAAGTGTTCAGATCCCACTGCTGCCACCAAGTGTTCAGATCCCACTGCTGCCACCAAGTGTTCAGATCCCACTGCTGCCACCAAGTGTTCAGATCCCACTGTTGCCACCAAGTGTTCAGATCCCACTGCTGCCACCAAGTGCTCAGATCCCACTGCTGCCACCAAGTATTCAGATCCTACTGTTGCCACCAAGTGTTCAGATCCCACTGCTGCCACCAAGAGCTCAGATCCCACTGCTGCCACCAAGTGTTCAGATCCCATTGTTGCCACCAAGTGTTCAGATCCCACTGCTGCCACCAAGTGTTCAGATCCCACTGCTGCCACCAAGTGTTCAGACCCCACTGCTGCAACCAAGTGTTCAGATCCCACTGCTGCCACCAAATGCTCAGATCCCACTGCTGCCACCAAGTATTCAGATCCTACTGTTGCCACCAAGTGTTCAGATCCCACTGCTGCCACCAAGAGCTCAGATCCCACTGCTGCCACCAAGTGTTCAGATCCCATTATTGCCACCAAGTGTTCAGATCCCACTGCTGCCACCAAGTGTTCAGATCCCACTGCTGCCACCAAGTGTTCAGATCCCACTGCTGCAACCAAGTGTTCAGATCCCACTGCTGCCACAAAGTGTTCAGATCCCACTGTTGCCACCAAGTGTTCAGATCCCACTGCTGCCACCAAGTGTTCAGATCCCAATGCTGCCACCAAGTGTTCAGATCCCACTGCTGCCACCAAGTGTTCAGATCCCACTGCTGCCACCAAGTATTTAGACCCCACTGCTGCAACCAAGTGTTCAGATCCCACTGCTGCCACCAAGTGTTTAGATCCCACTGCTGCCACCAAGTGTTCAGATCTCACTGCTGCCACCAAGTGTTCAGATCCCACTGCTGCAACCAAGTGTTCAGATCCCACTGCTGCCACCAAGTGTTCAGATCTCACTGCTGCCACCAAGTGTTCAGATCTCACTGCTGCCACCAAGTGTTCAGCTCCCACTGCTGCCACCAAGTGTTCAGATCTCACTGCTGCCACCAAGTGTTCAGATCCCACTGCTGCCACCAAGTGTTCAGATCTCACTGCTGCCACCAAGTGTTCAGATCTCACTGCTGCCACCAAGTGTTCAGATCCCACTGCTGCAACTAAGTGTTCAGATCCCACTGCTGCCACCAAGTGTTCAGATCCCACTGCTGCCACCAAGTGTTCAGATCCCACTGCTGCCACCAAGTGTTTAGATCCCACTGCTGCCACCAAGTGTTTAGATCCCACTGCTGCCACCAAGTGTTCAGATCTCACTGCTGCCACCAAGTGTTCAGATCCCACTGCTGCAACTAAGTGTTCAGATCCCACTGCTGCCACCAAGTGTTCAGATCCCACTGCTGCCACCAAGTGTTTAGATCCCACTGCTGCCACCAAGTGTTCAGATCCCACTGCTGCCACCAAGTGTTCAGATTCCACTGCTGCCACCAAGTGTTCAGATCCCACTGCTGCCACCAAGTGTTCAGATCCCACTGCTGCCACCAAGTGTTTAGATCCCAC